TTTTCCTTACCTCATCAAGTATGAGAGATTTTAATTCATACACGTTATTCATACTTTTTATTTCCTGCACTAGCTTGTTGCACAACAAAGTATCAACTTTGGGTTAATCATCATCTACTAGACTATGAACTGCTTATAGACAGGAGCTCTCTGGGCATCTTTATATTGTATACTGATCATATAAAACATATTGAGCACAAAGAATCAACTTGTAAAGGTTACCATGAGCTATGCTTTGTTTGATAATGAGTTTGTGTATGAAAAGTCCCTGACTAGTTTTCAGTTTGTAAAGGAGTACATGCTCTACTAGCACTATAACAGGCTATCTATAGGTGTCAACCATAAACTCTTCAACTCTAAAATACACAAGCCAACTAAGTGAAACCCTGGAGAGTCACCAAATAAAGTACACTCTGTGAAAGGGAGCAAAGATAATAAGGGAAAGAGCCAGGGCTGAATTGATTTTAGAATTTTTAGCCCGAGTAGCAGGGTTTGAGACAACCACAGTATTGAAATATGAGGGAGAAACCCTAGAAAAGACAGAATCTGAAGTGTGGTTGCAAATTTTGTGTATAAAGTCTACTAAAATCTCTGGGTGACCCCTGAATCACATGTGTCAAAAATTATGTGCAAAAGTCAAAATGAGGAAAAAACTGAAGGCCAAACCAATAAATGAAGTCAGCAGTCTGCATCCAACTAAGTTGACTAGCTGGGGAAACAAATATATCAACATTTTTCAGAGAAATACCATGGAATCTCGAGTTTCTACAACATATTCACAATGTCCAGGATATAACCCCCAAATTACTCAACATGTAAAGAACTAGAATAAGATTCTTAATAAAGATAAAATAGTACCACATGCTTTTAACTGTACTCATTGACATAAATGAAACTAACACTTGAATGAAAAGATAAAAACTCAAAATAGCCAGGCATAGTGGTGCTGTAATCCCAGCACTCAGGAGACTGAGGCAGAGGGATCATTGTGAGTTCGAGACCAGCGTGGGCTACATAGTGAGTTCCAGGTCAGTCTCAACTAAATAGTGAGACCCTGTCTCAAAAAACAAACAAACAAACAAACAAACAAAAAACCAACTCAAAATAGAAAAAATGTTTTCACACACAAGTATTAAACATAAATTCTGTAATAGATAATTACAACCCCTGACATAAAATTTTACCTGACAGAGTTAACAGTAAAATGAAGATAGCAAAAAAATATAGCCAAAAAATGAAACAAGTGTAAAAAACAAAAGTAGAAATTATCCATTCTAAAAAACAGAGGAAAACAAATAAATAGCAACAACAAAAGAAACTAACAAAAGTAAACAAGAGCCAAAGGAAGATCAGTGAGATTATCAATAGGTCCCCATGCATGCAACTGAAGTCAAATGGGAAAAGAAAAAAAAGCAATATATATCATGTACAGGTACAAATACCCCATGATGAATGTTGTCATTATGGACATCTAAAATGTATTAATAAAAAATAAAAATTTAAAAAGATTTTAAAAAAGGAAAAGATCAGAAGACATATGAAGAAACCATAACTGAAATACACTTCAGTGGACCAATCTCTTAAAACAACACATCAAAAACTGCTACAAAATTGAAAGAAAAACTTC